CATAGAAAATGACAAAGTTTTCGAAGAAAAAAAAAAAGGAAAGAAAGTGTAATATTCGGCGAAGCCTTGGGGAAGGATTCATGGGTGGGAAACCCCCTAAAAACGACTAGGTACCTGAAGAAAAAAAAAAAGAACCAAAAAGTGTATGATTCAACAAAACCTTGGATAAGGTTGGTGGGTGGAAGGCACCCTTAGAACGCCGAAGTTCTCGAAGAAGAAAAAAAGTATAATCTTTGACGAAGCCTATGGGAGGGTTGCTGGGTGGAAATACCCTCTAAGAACAACCAACTTCCCGAAGAAGAAAAAAAACAAAAAAAAGTGTAATCTTCAGCGAAGTCTTGGGTATTGTTGCTGGGTGGGAGACCCTATGAAAACGGTTAAGTTCCTGAAGAAGAAAACTAATAAAAAGAAGTCTTATCTTCAACAAAGCCTTTGGGAGGGTTGTTGGGTGGACACCGACTTAAAAATAGTTTAGTTTCCAAAAACGAAAAAGACGAAAAAATAAGTGTAATCTTCGGCGAAGCCTTGAGGAAGTTCCGTAGGTGGGAGACCCATAAAATACGACTAAGTTTCCGAAGAAGATTGAGAAGAAAAAGAAGTACAATCTTCGACGAAGCCTTAGGGAGGATTGGTGGGTGGGAGACCTCCTAAAAATAGCTAAGTTCCCGAAGAATAAAAAAAAGAAAAAGAAGTGTAAGCTTCGACGAAGCCTAAGGGAGGGTTGTTGGGTGGAAAGACCCCCTAAGAATGACTAAGTTCCCGAAGAAAAAAAAAAAAAAAAAAAAAAAAAAATATTCGACAAAGCCTTCGAAAGGGTTGCTGAGTGGCAGACAATTAAAAAATAGGCTAAGTTTCCGAAGAAGAAAAAAAAGAAAAAGAAGTTTAATCTTCGGCGAAGCCTTGGGGAGGGTTGCTGGGTGGGCACCGACTAAAAAATAGTGAAGTTCCCAAAAAAGAAAAAGACGAAAAATAAGTGTAATCTTCGGTGATGCTTGGGGACAGTTAGTGGGTGAGAGACTCTTAAAAAACGACAGAGTTCCCAAAAAAAAAAAAAAAAAAAAGAAGTGTAATCTTCGGTGAACCTTGGGGAGGGTTGATGGATGGGAGGCCCCCTAAAAATAACTAAGTTTCCGAAGAAGAAAAAAAAGAAAAAAAACAGTAAGCTTCGACGAAGCCTTGAGGAGGGTTGATGGGTGGAAGACATCCTAAAACGGCAAAGTTTCCGAAGAAAAAAAAAAAGAAAAAAAGTGTAAGCTTCGGTGAAGCCTACGGGAATGAAAAAAAAAGAAAAAAAAGTACAATATTCGGCGAACGCTTCGAGAGGTTTTACTGCGTGACAGGCGGCTAAAAAACAGGCTAAGTTCCCGAAGAAGAAAAATAACAAAAAAAAGTCTAATCTTCGGCGAAGCCTTGGGCAGGGTTGTTGGGTGGACCGACAAAAAAATGGTTTAGTTCCCAAAAAAGAAAACAAAGAAAAAATAAGTGTAATCTTCTGTGAGGCCTTAGCGAGGGTTAGAGGGTGGGAGACCCTTAAGAAACGACGAAGTTCTCGAAGAAGAAAAAAAAGAAAAAGAAGTGTAATCTTCGGCGGAGCCTTGGGGAGAGTTGGTGGGTGAGAGACCCCTTAAAAATGACTAAGTTTCCGAAGAAGAAGAGAAAGAAAAAGAAGTATAAGCTTCGGTGAAGTTTTGGGGAGGATTGCTGAGTAGGACACCCCCTAAGTTGGGTGGGAGGCAGCTAAGAACAGACTAAGTTCCCGAAGTAGAAAAAAAAAAAAAAATGTAATCTTTGGCGAAGCCTTCGGGAGGGTTGATGGGTAGGAGACCTCCTGAAAACGACTCACTTCCCCTAGTACAAAAAAAAGAAAAAGAAGTGTAATCTTCGGCGACGCCTTGAAGACGGTTGGTGGGTGGGAGCTAACTAAAAAATGGTAAAGTTCCCGAAGAAGAAAAAGAAGAAAAATAAGTGCAATTTTCGGCGAACCCTTGGGCAGGTTTGGTGGGTGGAGGACCCACTAAGAACGGCTAAGTTCCCGACAAAAAAAAAAAAGACAAACAAGTGTAATCTTCAGCGAAACCTTAGGTAGGGTTAGTGGGTTGGAGACCCTTAAGAAACGACTAAGTTCCCGAAGAAGAAGAAAAAAAAAAGTGTAATCTTCAGTGAAGCCTTGGGGAGGGTTGATGGGTCGGAGACCTCCTGAAAACGGCTCAGTTCCCGAAAAAAAATAAAATAAAAAAATTGTAAGCTTTGGCGAAGCCTTGTGGAGAGTTGGTGGGTGGGAGCCCCCCGAAAAACGACTGAGTTCCGGAAGAAGAAAAAAAAGAGAAAAAATATAATATTCGGCGAAGCCTTCGAGTGGGTTTAAGGGCGGGAGGTCGCTAAAACCAGGCTAAGTTCCCGGAGAAGAAAAGGAAGACAAAGAAGTATAATCTTCGGCGAAGCCTTGGGTAGGGTTAGTGGGTGGGAGACCCTTGAGAAATAACAAAGTTCCCGAAGAAGAAAAAAAAAGGAAAATAAGTATAATCTTCTGCGAAGCCTTGGAGAGGTTTGATGGGTAGGAGACTTCCTGAAAATGGTCTAGTTCTCGAAGAAGAAAAAGAAGAGAAAGAAGTATAATCTTTAGCGAAGCCTGAAATAGGGTAGGTGGGTAGAAGCCCCCCTTCAAACTATTAAGTTCCCGAGAAAGAAAAAAACGAAAACTAAGTGTGATCTTCGGCGAAGTCTTAGGAACGGTTAGTGGGTGGGGGACTTTTAAAAAATAGCAAAGTTCCGGAAGAACAAAAAAAAAAAAAAAAGTGTAATCTTCGATGAAGCCTTGGGGAGGGTTGGTGGTTGGGAGACCCCCTAAGAACGGCTAAGTTCCCGAAGATTAAAAAAAAAAAAAAATGTAATCTTCGACGAAGCCTTGGGGAGTGTAGATGGCTAAAAGGCCTCATAAAAATGGCTCAGTTCCCGAAGAAGAAAAAGAAGAAAAAGAAAAAAAAGAAGTATGATCTTCAACGAAACCCTGAGGAGGGTTGATGGGTGGAAGGACCCTTCTGGAACGACTAAGTTTTCGAAGAAGAAAAATAACAAGAAGAAGTGTAATCTTCAACGAAGCCTTAGATATGGTTGTTAGGTGGAAGGCCCCTTAAAAACGGCCAAGTTCCTGAAGAAGAAAAATAAGAAAAAAATCTAATTTTGGACGAAGCCTTGAGGAGGCTCGCTGGGTGAGAGGCGGTTAAAAAATGGTTAAGTTGCCAAAGAAGAAAAATACGAAAAACAAGTGTTATCTTCGGCGAACCCTTTGAGACAGTGGAAGACCCTTAAAAAACGGTGAAGTTCCTGAAGAAAAAAAAAAAAAAAAAGTGTAATCTTCTGTGAAGCCTTGGAGAAGGTTGGTGGGTGGGAGACCCCCTAAAAATGACAAGGTTCCCGAAAAAGAAAAATAAGAAAAAGAAGTTTAAGCTTCGACGAAGTCTTGGAGATAGTTGGTGGTTAGGAGACGCTCTAAGAACGACTAAGTTCCTGAAATAGAAAAAGAAGAAAAAAAGTATAATATTTGGCGAAGCCTTCGAGAGAGTTACTGGGTGGGAGACGGTTCCTAAAGAAGAAAACAAAGAAAAAAAAGTTCAATCTTTGGCGAAGCCTTTGGGATGGTTGATGGGTAGGAGGCCTCCTGAAAACGATTAAGTTCCAGAAGAAGAAAAAGAAGAAAAGGAAGTGTAACATTCGGCAACACCTTGGAGACGGTTGGTGGGTGGGAGCCGATTAGAAAACGGTAAAGTTCCTGAAGAGGAAAAATAAGAAAAACAAGCGTAATCTTCGGCATAGCCTTGGGGAGTGTTGGGGGGTGGGAGACCCCCTATGAACGACTTGTGTCGTTGGTATATTCCGACAGGGCTTTCCTTCGGTTACCTTGGTTTTGAAGTAGCTTTTGCGCTTGTGTTGTTTAGGCCTGACGCCAAAGTAGGGGTTCCCCTGGGCGCTACCGGGACTCGAACCGGCGTGCGTTTAAGACCGGCTGATGTGCTCATATACGCAGGACCAGTACCTGCTTCGGATGGAGTTTTAGTGAGTTTCTTAGTAATTTTCGGTACTCTGGCCTCAAACAATTTACCTGCAGGCAACATTAGGTAATGGGACTATGGTATCCTGAGTTTCCCTTGTGGACCGGGTCTAGGAGTGGTGCCAGTCCTCGGACCCCAGTTGAGTATCGAGCAACGACTCGTTTTGGTTACCATCTAGACTATAAGTAAATCGTCGTAGTTAGTAGTAGACCTCTTGGGTTGTGGTCATGCGGCAACTATCGATGCTACCGGTAGTGTCGATAGGAGCCCGTGGTCGTAAGTTGGTGGTACGAAGGTGGTTCCTGAGATTGTCGGTTTGATTTGGTTGAACCTATGGTTTGTGTTGACTATATGATCTTGTCATCGCGTGGAATTTCCTACTCTGTGACGTGTACGTTGTGCATTATGTGTGCTTGTGCATCATTACCTTCCATATTCATTGGACTGCGGGTGTTAACTTACCTGGAGTTACCTGGCCGGGCTAGAGTGAGCACGAACGGGATTTCATCGATGACTAACTTTTCTGCAACGCAGTTATTGACTGCGTTGTACGTGATCAAGCGCGCTTTGGACTCGTTGATAGTATGTTGTTGCCATACTCCACTTGTGCGCTGTTTCCCAACTTGCAAACTTGAGGAACGACGTTATGTCTTCACGCGACCAAGTCGAGCAAGGTGATCATGAACACGAACGAGGGGATCGGTCACGAGATGTGCGAGATGATGGTAGGGAACGAAGGTCGTATAGGCCACCGACGTGCTTTGCTTGTCATGAGTCGGGGCACTATGCAAATCAGTGCCCGAACCGGAATAGGCGCCTGAATGTGCGACGATCTTCATCGTCAAACTCGAGGTGCTCGCGATCTCCACGCGGCTATGATTCTAGAAGGAGGGAGGCGTCCCAACAGCTCGATCCTGAGTTGCGGAATACTATTGCGAAACTCGGTAAGAGTGTTGTGGTGATGGAGAAACACTACGCTGCCGAACTTGAGAAGAAAGAAGTCAAGAGGAAGAAGAAATTGGAGAAAGAGGAGGCTCTAAAATGAGAGGAGGAGGAACGTGTTCGAAGGGATGAAGAGCATGCCAGAGCCGAAAAGAAAGCCTTGAAAGCCAAGCAGAAGAAAAAGTTGGAAGTTGAAGCACGTGCGGCCATGCGGAAGGATTTGAATATGCAGTTCACCATACAGGTCGGGGATTTAGAAGATCGGTTGGTTGAACGCATGTACCAAGTTGTTGCGCCAGTTCTTCCTCCAAATCGTGAGCGGGGCAAGAATAAGGTTATGTATGCATCTGATTCTGACGAGGCATTATCTGCCCGTATCGAGGGTAGTGATACGAGTGTGACGCAGAAGCTCAACACAAAAACCGAGCGCTTGTGTATCTCGGAGAAGCGGAAGCGGGGCGCTGAACCTGTATTTGAGGAGCCAAGTCCTCCAATGGAGTTGCCGGCGAAGAGAACCCCCAAGCGAGGAATTCTGAAGCCGGTGAAGCTGACGAGACGTTTGACCCGTTCTAAGTCGAAGAAGGCTGGTGGGGGCTTAACCCCGACGACGAACAAGAAGAATATTGCTACACCTATTTCGAAGCGCCGCACTCCAACGCATTCACCAACATGCCCCTCAGCGGCTGTATTGACCCCATCTGCAAAAGGGACCCTTGCCCGTCTCCACTATCGAAATGAAGTGCTCAAGGAGCTAAAAACTTTGGATGCTACTGAGCTGCAGTGTATATGTCGAGAAGAGGGATTGCACTATGATAAGAAGATCGATGCGATCTTCGATGTCGCAGACCATCGTACTGAACGGACCTTTGGTGGGTCGTCCGCGGGGAACGTTGAAGTAATCAAGGTCGATGCCTTTGAAGACCTCGGTGGTGACGAGAGCGTGGAACCTGCCGCTGGGGGAGACGTCTGACGTGGCTTATCTATACAGAAGCTTTCGAAGTTGTACCGATTCCTTATGCATGAACGTTGCGAATCTGCTACCGTTAATAGATATGTTGAAGGAGTGTTCCGTTTGGTTTTTCTGTTGCTAGCGTTGCAAGGGGAGATATGATGGGCTAACAAGTGTGTTCCTAAGTGGTTGGAATTATATGATCGTCACGGTCTTGAGTTCCTTAGACTTAGTTCCTGCGTGTATATTGGGATTTCGCCGTTTTGTAAATTGTCTTATGTGGGCAAATCCACGAGGGACGTGGACGTCCGTTGGAGGGAACTCATTTGTTGTTATAAGAAACGAATCCGCCCCCATTTTCATCGTTGGCTAACATCCTTCGGGGTTGGGAATTATGTGCTGATACATGTGGATATTCTTGTTGGCAGGGAACTGGCGGCTTTGGAGAATGCTTATATTAAACTCTGATCCCCGTTCCTTAACACATCCGGATGCAGGAAGACTAACACCGGGAGTAAGCCAAAGAAACCTGGAAGGAAAGCGTGTGCTAGGAAGAAAAATCATTTATGAACCTAATGCTTTTCTTTGAAAACCTGTACGGTTTCGCAATATTGCTTCTGATGAATGGTGTGTACACTTTTTTGCTTTCCTGGACAACTCGCTGAAGGATGGCAACACCGGTGTGGATTTTTTTGTACAGAGTGAGAATGTGTGGGAACCACGTTGGAATAAGATAGTGAAGACCTTTGGGGGACTAAGATTGTGTCAAATGTGGGCACTGCCCGCCTAAAGGATTGCAGGACCCTCTTGCAATTGGGAGTTTTTTTTTCTATTCTACATGCATGCAGATGAACATCTAAGTGAGGGTTCTTTAAGAATTTTTTGATCAGCATCCTTCGGAACCCTCGATAGATATTTGTTACTTCTAATTGGAGTATGCGTACTTTGTTACGGTTGTACCGTGCTGCTAAGGATTTCTCTCGGAAATCTACCCGGAAATACGTGTGTAGAATGTTTGCGCAAAACTTTCGGGACCGCTTAGGTTTAAGCCTCAGTGCTGCTCTTATCTTTCGTGTAAATATGATGAACGATTAAAGGTGTTTGAGCTTCGTAAGGTAACCAATTATGCTTTGATGTGTCTTGACTTACCTCGTTGTTTTTTGCTCCATGCTCGTAGGAAGATTCAGATAGTGGGGACTAAGAACCCCTCTGTCACTGACTTGTTGCACAACATGCGTAGTCTGTCGACACGCTCTGTGCTAACCTGCACTTGTCTGGGTTCCTTGCTTCCTCGTTCTAATGGACACGTGCTGTTTCGACTTAGTGACCTTGATGATATTCATCATTTTCTATGCAATGCAAAGAACGTGCCGCGTACACATTTGATTAATCGACTGAATTTGTTACACGATGAGTTAACCAATAGGTTCGCCAACTGGCTAATTGGAATAATGCTCTACCCATCATTAGCAGGGACAGTCTGGAAGCATGTTTTGTCGTACCCTCCGATACTAGTCGGTACTTGACCTTGGATGATGTTGCTGAGGCAAAAAAATGATTTGATGTGTTTATGATTTCTGCGGTGGATCGTAATTCGAGGGAAACAGTGGTGATGTGCCCCATGGTTTATTACGAGGTATTATTGAACAATTTTGTTAAGAATCCTGGTTATAAAATTGTGAATTAACCTGAAAGTGTGGCCCTACGTGAGCTCCACGAGGACGCTAGCACTGTTGGCCTGAAAACTTTTGTTAGATGGAATGCTAAGGGTAAGTGCGGCTCTGCTTACCTCCTGCCAAAGCATAAAGATCTCAGTCGTTTTCGACCAATTTGTTCATGTTTTGGTGAGCCTATGGTGCGCACTAGCCGTGTTGTTGCCTGGGCTTTGAATCACTTGCTTGGTACGATGCCATGACATTGGCATTTCAATTTGCCTGCAGTTTCTTCCTTGAGGTCTCGCCTGGATGATGCAAATCGAAGATTCTTGAGATTACGAGGGCACAGGACGATTTCATCATATTCCTTTCACATTAAGGAAATGTTTACCAAATTACCGCATGCCGATATTTGTCGTGGCATTGACTGGTTAATTGACCATCACTTGAGTAAAGGAAGGCATTTCGTCTGAGTGAATCCCTGAGGAAAGGGTGCCTCTTTTAACTTATCTACCGGGACCGATCACTGAAGGAAATTGGTCTGGAGGACGTTCGAGCATTTGTACATCTAGAGTTGAGTCACACGTATTTTCGAGCTTCAGGTGTTCTTCTCCAGCAAATTATGGGTATCCCAATGGGCAAGAGCACTAGCCCACCTCTTGCCTGTATCATGTGTGCCTTTGCTGAGTACCGGTTTACTTGCAGTATTGGTCGGGCCGTGAGTTACGTTTTTGCGTCACGCTTAATCGATGACGTGATGTTGGTTATATCTTTGCCTCATTGGGAGACAAACTCGACTATAGTAAGTGCCTTTGAGGGATCTTATCCTGCTAATTTGGTGCTCAAACGCACTAATGATAATTCTGACGTTTTTGAGTTCTTGGGATGCCAGATTCGTGTGCAGTAGGTCTACCCCTATATAGGTTATATTCAGATGACGAGGAACGACGACTGTATGTGGACTTGTGAAAAGTTGGTTATTCAGAACGGACAGTCCTACTTATCATGGGGCTGTAAGAGGCAAAAGAGCACCACCATTGAAAGCTACCTGCATCGAATCGTTAGGAATATCCGATTAGGACTGAAATCCAAAATCGAGTGCGGGCTATTCAACGAGAATTGGCTCTGAAAGATTTTCCGGACGCATTCTTTCAGCGTGTGCTGAAAAGTTTCGCGATCCGACGGGACGCTGTTTGGAGATTGACTTTTAAGTTGTTGTACTAAAGTTGTTTTTATTTGTTTTATCTGTTTGTTGCCGCTACTGTTTTGTCTGTTGTGTTGACTAGGATATTCGGGTAGGTCGTTTGATGTATTCCGAAAGGGCTCTCATTCGGATTCATTGATTCTGAAGTAGCTTGTGCGCTTGTGTCATTGGTATATTTTGACAGGGCTTTCCTTCGGTTACCTTGGTTTTGAAGTAGCTTGTGTGCTTGTGTTGTTTAGGCTTGACGCCAAAGTAGGGGTTCCCCTAGGCACTACCGGGACTCGAACCGGCGTGCTTTTATGACCGGCTGATGTGCTCATATACGAAGTACCAGTACCTGTTTCGGATGGAGTTTTAGTGAGTTTCTTAGTAAGTTTCGGTACTCTGGCCTAAAACAATTTACCTGCAGGCAACATTAGGTAATGGGACTACGGTATCCTGAGTCTCCCTTGTAGATCGGGCCTAGGAGTGGTGCCACTCCTCGGGCCCCAATTGAGTACCGAGCAACGACTCGTTCTGGTTACCATCTGGACTATAAGTTTATCGTTGTAGTTAGTAGTAGACCTCTTGGGTTGTGGCCATGAGGCGACTATCGATGCTACGGGTAGTGTCGATAGGAGCCCGTGGTCGTAGGTTGGTGGTACAAAGGTGGTTCTTGGGATTATCGACTTGATTTGGTTAAACCTATGGTTTGTGTTGACTATTCGACCTTGTCATCGTGTGGACTTTTCTTCTCTGTGACGTGTACATTGTGGATTTTGTGTACTTGTGCATCATTACCTTCCATATTCACAAGTTCCCGAAGAATAAAAAGAAGGAAAAAAATGTTATCTTCGACGAAGCCCTGGAGAGGGTTGGTGGGTGGGTGACCCTCTAAAAACGGTTATATTCCCGAAGAAGAAAAATAAGAAAAATAAGTCTAATCTTCGACGAAGCCTTGGGTAGGGTCGTTGGGTGGGAGAGGGCTAAAAACAGCGTTGTCGAGCGGGGAACCCCGGGGGCAAAGCCGGTGTTAGGCTGCGGACCCCGGACCCCCGCCGCGGGGTTCATCCAACACCGCCACCGCCGGACGACCCCCGCCGCCGCCCAGCCCCGGGTACCCCGCCGCC